TGTATAATCTCATTGCTTTCTGAATGCCAATATACCTGTATGCATAAATGAGAGAATTTGACAAACTTATGTGTAGAACTAAGAATACAGATGAGTTTCAAAAATATATTAGAGTTGGCATCACACCATGTAGAAATGTTAAAATCCATAACATAGAAAAGAGCAGGTGCTATAATAAAGAAAAGTCTCCTCAAAATTAAGCAGTTTTGTTATATGAACAACTGTTTGCTATAGAAAGTTCACAGATGGCAATGTCGGGAGGGAGGTAAAGTTCAACAGTGAGCAGAGTTCAGACGACTACATGTTGTTCTCTTGCGAGATTAGGAAAGAAAAAATGGAAGAGAGTAATTTAGGTTAAGTCCTATGAGAAGGAGGAAGGGTCATCTTCCATAGAGAGTGACCTTTATTAATATTTTCATGCCTTTCATGTGGATCAGTCTTATAGGAAACTAAGGTTCTTTGGCCTTGCTACATCATTAAGGAGCCATACTTTGGGAGTGCCTGGATGACTCAGTCGGTTAAGATGGACTTCAGCTCAATTCAGGATCTCTCCATCCATGAGTTCAAGCTCTGTGTCAGGCTCTGTGCTGACAGCTCAGAGCTGTTTTGGATTCTGTGTCTCCCTCTCTCTCTCTCTCTCTGCCCCTCCCCTGCTCACACTCTGTCTCTCTATCTCACAAAAATAAACAAAGATTTAAAAAAATTTTTTTAAAAAGGGAGCCATAGTATGATCTAGCTCTTTTATCTGTATGCCAGTGTCACTCAAAAGTCTCAGTAAAATCCACGAAATGCTGTACTCTTTGTTAGCATTTTCCTAGACCTGTGATTCTTCTGAACACAAAACAGTGGGAACACAGTGGATTCCTGAGAGTCATAGCAGAGAATGTATATTTTTAAAATCCCGACCTAACAATTCATGTGTTAGAAAGCTGTTGTAGGTGCCAGATTTATCCACATGGGTTATAGGTGAGCTAAGATATTCAGCCCAGGGCAGCATCTAGAATGGCCAGTTACTAGATTGCTCATTTTAGGCTGTGAGGTCTCCTCTTTTACCCCAGTGCTATTACAGTATTATCCCAGGCATGATGGGGAAAACATCACTGCATATGGTGATCGCATGTTACTTTGGAACTGAAGGGTTCTTCAGAAAGATTCTGTTCGCCAATCCCAATGCTTTAAATGAGATCAAGTTTTTAATACTGTACACATTAAACAAGGAACATCTAATTTAATGCTGCATCTGTGAAGTAATTACATGATATTTTCCTAGGTGACATCTGAATGGAATATGCAATAGAAAGTTGTCTTTGTTCCAGTAAAATGTCAAACATTTGATGTTATTTCAAAAGTTATTTGGATTTTTTGCAAGCCGTGAAGATTGTAAAAAATGCCCTCTGACATGGGGGGAAAATTGGGGTATTATGTCTCTCTGAGGTTCGTCGAAGCCTGGCTGTCACAGAGTTTTTGTACTTCTTCTAATGAGGTGTTTGCTTACCTTGTTGCACACCACAGATCAGGGTTTTGTTCATCTGTTAAAAAAGTTTTATAATTACTGATTTTGACAAGTCTTTATACTGGAAAACAAGACATAGTTAATAAAAATGGCATAGGTACATTAGAGAATTATTCTATCAGGGTCATTAAAATGTTGTACTTAGAACATCACTGTTAAAATTTCCACAGTCATTCTCTGATGCTTTCAAAAAATACTTCTCTTCATTGCGTTTTTCAATAATGCTGTCTACCACATTTTTAAAAGTTTATTGAAAATACTACATGCCAGCTAATTTAATTAATTTTGCATGAAATGTGAAAGAATCCATAGAAAGTAAACGAAAGAGGGATATTGTTTTGAAATGGGACTCCTCTAATGTTCTCTAAGGCAGTGGCTGCTTTTTCATGTCACTAAATGCTGGCTATTATATTGAATTATATAAAGAATCTGTGGGGTTTCTAGAATAACTTTGTTTCATGGATTTCATCTATTATTCCAGAACCAACACAGAAGCTCCTAAGTCATAAATCCACGTTGTTGCTCTAGGAGAATTTGGATTCTTTCCATATTTGCTTGATTATCTACTTTCTAACCAAAATCTTTATCTATAGCTTCACTGTATATTTTTCTTATTGGGTACCTATGACCTGTACTTATGCTTTGCTGCCCTCTTTTTGTTTTCCATTGAAAAAATACATTTGTGCATTTTTTTTTCCTGGATACTGATTTAAAATATTTACAAAGATTCTTTTTCCAAAGAACATGCAGTGTTTGGTTTTCATCATTTTATTATGTCTTCCATGGTTTTGACTTTGGAAAATAAACATTGGAACAGACGGTAAAAGAGTTTAAGCAATTTCCTTAGCTCATAGAGGCATAACATAGTGAACACCCCAGTAATGTAGGTCTTGGTTCTTGCGAGTGAAAAAATACTCTAGTGTTGACACAGAATCAAGATCTAACAGAAAAAAACAAAGTGTTAAGCGAGTAGAAGTAACATGGTGGCATGTTAGAGTGACTATGGTTATGCAAATGAATGTAATTAATATTGAATGCTCACTATTTCAAGAGCTATTATAGAATTTTAGCATCTTTCAAGATATGAAAGCTATAGTCTCTGCCATTAGGAGATCACAATTTAGTTATTTTAATTTTGTTTATCATTTTACAGACCTTGCCATGAATAGTTTAGGATTACATAACAGAAATTAAGATGGTGCTTTACGTTTATTGTAGAAAGAACTATCTCGATGTTACGTTAGATTAATCAATTGATATGTTCCTTAGTGAATTTATTTATTTAAAAAATTCCATATGCATGGATTGTTGAATATAGAGTGCCTAAGAGAAATACTACCTGATGAATAACACCAAATAAATACAGAAACCACAAATATCTTGGATAATGATTAATAGTGTGTGTTCCATCTTGCTCCTACTCTTGTTTATTCTCTGATACTTTTTGCTTTAATTGTTCTTTATTTTAAAAATAACTATTAAAAACTAAGACCTTTATGTTAATATAATTAATATAGTAAGATACTGGATGAAAAGCAAAATATCTTCTCCTTGACTCCTTATCCTCAAACCTCAGAGGTAAATAGCTTTAACATGCGTATGTATATCCTTCCCCAAAATGTTGAAGCACATATGCACATACATGGGTTTGTGTGTCTATTTGCACATATACTTACCTATGTACCTTTGTAAATTTATATTTATAAATTTATGTTTAGAAATTCATATTTCCCACGTGGGGTGATAGTCAATAAAACAGAACTGCCGAAGCCCAGACCAATGAGAGCAGATGTCTTAGCTGTTCCTTGCTACGCTGAGGTTAACAAGATGGTCTCAGGGGAAAGGAGGCATTTGGGAGGCTTGGGCAGCAGCGATTTTCCAACACGCCCAGAAGTATTTCAGAATTTTAATAACGAGGTTTTCCACAACTGTGCCTAAAAGGCCAATACCAGTCCTACTTCCAATCATTTGATGGCTTGTGTGTCTCCTCACAGCACACCTTTGCGCATGTTCCCCCAAAGATCACAAAAGATCAGCATCAGCGCTGCTGGTGTTGTCCCCTTCTATACCAACCATTCATATTTTTAAGTTCAGCCCCTTAGAGTTGCTCATGGACACTGTACGTGCATTCATGAAGGGCTCATGTCACAACTCTGAAGCAGATGCAGTTTATTTCTAGAACATTTCTTTGAGAATTTCCTCTGTGTTCCCTCTGTTGTCCAGTGGGCCTTTTAGTCACATTTTTGTGGGCCAGTCCACCCACTTGAACCACTCCAGTGATTCTAATTCCTCAGAGCTTAGAGTTTTCAGGCTCCCCATATATCAGTGTTTACTAAACAAAAACATATCATGTTGTTTTATTATTAGTATACTTTTTATGTGTCTCATTATTACAATATATTATCAACCCATGGATGGTAGGACTGTAATTTAAACTAGCTTATATCTATCTTTCTACCCAGGACATTGCATATAAATATCACTCAATAATGTTTGTGCATTATTCTTTTGGACTGCATTAGTCATGCACCTTCGCAAAACATCTACGATGCTTACTGTTTATGCCTTCATACTTTATGTAGATTTCAAAATAAAGGATTGCCACATTCCCCTCAGTTGTCACCCTGCTGACATGTAGTAACTTCATGTCTTCCTTTATCTTCCTTTTTTTAAATACATGTTTACTTCTGGGTACAGAAAGTATAATCACCCATAATTTAATTTTATTTCAATCACTTGTCTGCAGGTCCAAGAATTTCTTCTCCATTATTTTCTCTTTGGGGATTGTAAAGTAATTGACATTTATTGAGTATTTATAAGTCCTTTGACAGGTACTCTGTATACATTATCTCATTGAGTCCAAATTGTCTGTCAGTACTGTGCTTATTATTAACTCTAATTTGTAGGAAAGGAGGCTAAAAGTTGGAAAAGTAAAATCATCTGCCCAAGGTCACATAAATGCTGAGAACACAATTTAAACACAGGACTATGCCTCTAAAGCTCTATGTTATTTTTGCTCACCATACTAACTCCACCCACACGGTACTTTTCTGAGGACTGGGAGATATAGGTAAGTATATTTTCTAAACAATCAAACTTATCCACCATGGAATTTCAAACTCATACTTTATATCCTCTAATACAGTAGGGTGAGTAAATTGGTGTTTAATGAATGCTTTAGGTGATCACGATGATAATGGAATTTAAAAAATCAGATGAAATGGTGTCAATGATTTGTTAGAGAACTAAAATCTAGTCTTAACCCATTTCTTTTAAAGTCGTGGCTGTCAAGATGAAACAACATATTTTAGCAAAAGGTATTAAACATGAACATGTAACAGTAAAATCATTTCAGAGAACATAATAGGGTTATAGAATGATATCAGAAATAAATTTTTTCCGTAACATTGAGCTTTATATTTGCTAAAAAGTGGTGAGAATATTTTAGAATTCAAAGTTACATGTTGTTGTGGTTACTCTTCTCCAGGTGTTCCAGATTGCATATGTGATTGTGAAAGCAGCTAATTCCCCCCGGCCTGGAAACTGGATTTTGGAACGCTCACTTGATGATGTTGAATACAAGCCCTGGCAGTATCATGCTGTGACAGACACGGAGTGTCTAACCCTTTACAACATTCATCCCCGCACTGGACCCCCATCGTATGCCAAAGACGATGAGGTCATCTGCACTTCATTTTATTCCAAGATACACCCCTTAGAAAATGGAGAGGTAAGATAAGAAAACTCACCACAAGTACATTTTAGATGGTAAAGTCAGCCTGTCAGAAGGATGTGAATATATCAGTAATTAATGTCAGGGAGATTTTAAAATAGGATTTAGCAGAAGTACATTTAAATGAGTTATTAAATAAAAAGGCAAAACCCAAGGTGATTAGAATTTTAACTACCTTCATCCAGTGTGTGTGTCCCAACCTCAATAAAGATCAGAGAAGAGGAAAGGCTTTAGGTTGGAAAGTCAATGATTAATTTTAGGTATTAAGACAGCTTTTTTGACAGTGAGGTTGCTAATAATTGGAGAAAGATTGAGACCTTCAGGGAAGCCTTAGATCTGTGTATATTCTGGCCTAGATGGGGACAAAACCCCCCTGAAATTTAGGAAGAAATATAGTTGATATGAAGGACCTAAATAAAAGGGAATTCTGTTGTCTTTTGCATGTTTTTCGGCTCTTGCCAGATAGGGAGGGCTACATTTTGGTCAGGCTTTGCTTATTTTATACTTAATTCAAAAGTGTTTAGTTTCTCTATAGCATCTTTTATTCTTGGTTAAGAGTTTACATTTATTCAAACCATGGCTTCACCTGTTACCATCTGTATGATCTTGAGTCAGTGACTTAAATTCTGTGCTTCAGTTTCATCTCCCATGAATTGGAAAAAAATAATGGCCCTTATTTAATATCATTAAGAAGAATAAGTGAATTATTATATTTAAAGTGGTAGAACCGCACTGACAGACCTATACTAAGTGTTTTGTAAGCATGAACTATTTTTACTGTTGCTGCTGTAATAATAATTATTATTATTGTTAGTAGTAGTATTATTGTAGTAGTTAGTAGTTTTGTTAGTAGTTTTGTTAGTAGTAGCAGTTAGTAGTAGTAGGCTCCTCTCAAATACCCAAACTTTGACTTAGGGATTCTCTTGGATTCTCTAAGATATTTTCCTAATCTGTCTCTCTTCAGTATATGTGACCTGGCTACTTTTGTCCTATCTGCTTACATGTATCTCAATTTATACTCATGTGTGATAGTTGCTTTTCACAGTCCACACCTGACGCTAGTATCATTTTTTATATTCACATTTTCAGTGAACCCATATTCATATTCTATCAGGCCGATCTTGGCCAGTTGAGGGTTATCTTTTTAAACACTTTTGGAGGAAAGTTATATTTTTTACATAAATTGGTCACACTCCTTTTTGGCACTATTATTCTATGAATATATACCAGAGCCTCACTATATTTCAAATTCCATGTTCGGAAATATCAGTTTGGGGGAAGAAATTCCAAATGGTGCTCTCAGCAGAGATCTCAATCTGCCAAATGACAAGGAATCAAATGCATTGAGTCAAACAGCTGTTCAACCTGCTTTGTGCCCATAGGCATCCAATTCCTGGCCAGATTGGCCTGAGGATATAGGAGTAGGGAGGGTGTTCAGAGATAATGTATTTGAGTTCAATTTTTATTATTTTTCTCCTGGATCTAGTGCTTACCCAGAACTAATAATTATGTATTTATATTTTGATATTTATAAAGCTATTTTTTTCCTAGAAAAAATGGTGCAATTCAGAAATTGGTTGAACAATATAAAAAGTGCCTTGATAGATATGTAACTTATAAGTCTACATGCATATACCCAAAGCATGCTGTCCCTACATTGATGGTGGTTCTCCATTCTTTCAACCTTGTCAGCCTGCCAACATGGAGCAAACAGATATGTTGTTTGTTTGTTTAACTGACTATATTGTTTTCACTCCTAGACACTAAAAACTAGTCATTGATGGTGACTATTAGAAACAATGTTCTCAGCTTTCTCTGTGACGTTTAAGTCTATTTCTTTCTCATGAGAAAGTGGATGAGGTTAGGAAAAGAAAGTAAATCAAAATATTTGAAATATAATGGTAATATTTAAGAGTAAGAATTAAATTCAGACCTCTCCTAAGATATCTGCTTCATTTTAAACAGCTTACTCTGTGAAACATGCTACTTTTTGGAATAAACCAGTCCAGGGGTGGTAGGTGATATTTATTCTCCAAAGCTTCCAACTCACTGGCAACAAAACTGAGTTGACAATGAAGGTCCCCAGACCTCCCAGGTTGATGGTCTTTTCATCCTCTAGTAAAGAATGGAAGTTGATTATTCCTTTTTAAATTTGGTAATTGATAAACTCGAGTTTAGAGGAGACAGAGATACTGGATCTAGTATAACTGGAAAGAGTCCTAAATCTGAGGTATCACACTACAGAAGAATGTATAATATGAAGAATATAGAAGAATGTATATAACAATATCATTTTGGATATCATTTACAATATAATATGTAAGAGTATTCTAAAATTTTTGATGCTTGTCTTCAATATTTCCCAGACTTGTGACTGTGAAATAAATCTTATTATCTTTAACTTTTAGTTTTGAAATGATACATTTTGTGTACCACCTGACATATAATCAATGCTTATGTTCAAGACTCCCAGAGAAGTGACATAATACTCAAGTAAGAGAAACAAACATACAAACCAGTAAATGCTTAACCCTCCCCCCCCAAAATGTATAAATGCTACAACAGAAATGTTGAGCCAAAGTAGCCACCTGAAAGATGACTTCTCAGAATACCAGAAAATAAAAATAACTCTTAGTATTTCAAAAGTTTTAAGGCCAAAATGTGAATTCATCTCTAATATAGGCTATGGGTTAAGCTAGGCATATAACTCAATTTACCTCCAATGTGGATGGATATTTTTATTAGATATAGAATTGTAGATTTGCAGGTTTGTTCTTTTGGCACATTTTATTGTCTTATGGTTTTCATTGTTTATATTAAAAAGTTAGCTATTGAATAACTATCTATTGTCTATTTTCTTTGATTGCCTTAAAGATTTTTATCTTTGTTTATTTTTAATTTTTTTATAGTTTATTTTTGAGACAGAGAGAGACAGAGCATGAGTGGGGGACAGGCAGAGAGAGAGGGAGACACAGAATCTGAAGCAGGCTCCTGGCTCCGAGCTGTCAGCACAGAGCCTGATGCGGGGCTCGAACCCATGAACCGTGAGATCTGACCTGAGCCGAAGTGGGACGCTTAACTAACTGAGCCACCCAGGCGCCCCTTATCTTTGTTTTTGATTTTCCATAGTTTTACTATGATGATCCAGATTTGCACTACCAAATACAATAATCACTGGCCATATGTGGTTATTTAATTTAGATTTCATTAATTCAAATAAAATTGCAATTCACGTCCTTAGTTGCTTAGGCACATATCAAGTAGTCAGTAGCCACATGCGACTAACAGCTACCACTTTGATTTATGCAGAATAGAACATTTCAGTCACTGCACAAAGTTCTGAGCAGTGCTGCTATAGATTATTCCTTTTTATTTTCTGGACTATGATTTATTTGGTTTGTATATTTGCAGAATTATATCTTTCATCAGTTCATGAAATAATTTAGCCAATTAACTCTCCAAATACTGCTCCTTCTCATTCTGTCTCCTCTATAAATACAATTAAAAATAATTTGGAACTTTCCCTGTATACACTGTGTATTTTATACTCTTTTGTATATATATCATCCTTTGGCCTTCTATTCTTCTTTTTAGATATTTTCTTCTAATAGTGAAGAACTTCTTCCAGTTCACTAATTCTCTCTTTAGCTATGTAAAATCTGCTAATGAAACTATTCATATGATTCTTAATTTCATTAGTACATTTTTTAAATTCTAGAATTTATCTTTGGTTTATATCCAAATAGTTTAGTATCTAGTTTATCCTGAAAGTTTATCCTAAAATTTTATATATTTAGCAAAAATATATTTAAATTTTCAATATTCTATCTTTATCTCCATGAACATAAAGTAACAATTATTTAAGAGTTTTTTGTAATTTTAATATCTGGCCTCTGTGGATATATGTTATCTATTTCATTTGCTGATTCTTTTTTTGATGTGTTATATCCTCACAATTCTGATTATCTATGCATAACAGAAGTTATATTTAAAAATGTACATATAGAAACAGTTTGAGGCCTAAGATATCATCTTTATCCTGTGAGGATTTTCTGGTGCTTCTGCCAGGCGATGGCAATAGGGATCATCTTAATACAATTGTAGGAATTCAAATTTCCAGGTCTTAGGTCACTCAAAGCTATGTTGTGACCCAGTGACAGCTGCTTTAATTCTGGTTTAATTTAGGCTTCCTGGGGTTTTTGTTTGTTTGTTTGTTTTTAAATTAAATTAAATTAAATTTTATTTATTTTATTTTTAGTCTAAATCAAAATGTGTGGTACTTTCCATAGTCCTGCCCATACAAATCTTCTGTCTTCCTAGTATTCTAGGGCCATCAGAGCACTGCTCAGTCTCTCAACCGTGTCTTCTGACAGGGAAATATGCATTAGACAAAAGTTGTCACAAAGTGCTAATTACCTCTTTAGACATATTTCTTCTCCTTAATATTGAGAAGGTGATTTTTCACATTCTTGATAACTCTCAGATGGCTTTAAGTAAATGTTTTTACATTTTTCTCCAGTTGCTGTAGTTGTTATCATTGATTGTATTGACACTAATTGTATAAACTACCATAAAAAGAAGCATAGTCTCATACACATGTTTAAAAATTATTTTGGAATCATTTTAAATTCACATAAATATATGGACTACAGAGAATCCCTGTTTCCTCTTTACCCAGCTCTTACTAATGTCCATCAGGTTGTGTGTCGACAGCTAGCTCAGAGCCTGGAGCCTGCTTCAGATTCAGTATCTCCTTCTCTCTGTCCCTCCCCTGCTCACGCTGTCCCTTTCTCTCTCTCTCTCTCTCTCAGAAATAAATAAAAACATTTAAAATTTGTTAAAGAAATAAAGTTAAGTCAAAGAATAAAAGAAATAAGAAATCCATAAATTAAGGTATTATAACATGTCTCAACTTTAACCCACCAGTTAAACAATAATGTTTATATTATAGATATATGATATAATAGAAAATAGTCTTTTGTGACAAATATCAAAAT